AGAAATGTTGTTTACAACGAATGGTCAATAAGGAAGGTGTAAATAAGCAAAACAATTAAGTAAAATAAAAAAATAAGGCACAAAACGATTACGGTCGGGGATATGTATGATAGTGGCGCTGAGAGCAGTGGGTTCCAATCCCGCTCGCAACAAATATTTGTACAGCCTACAAACAATGATATTATAAGAATTTGCTTATAATAACATTGACAAAAAATAATTGTTCTTGATTAAGAGCTTGCCCTTCTGCAATTTCTGTCACCAATTGAAACAGCAGTATTGTTAAGCGCTGGTATTCCGTGCGTGTCGTATTGTATTATTCCTTCCCCAGTGGGTTGGCCTTTTGTGACGCCGCTAATTACCGAAAATGCGTCTATTGCTATTTACCGCTTAATTTATAAAATAAACATGTTACAAATACTTCCTTAAATTCAAGCTGCATACTAGAGAATAATTTTATGCAAATATGTTCAGAAATTGCCACTCTGCGTAATATCCCTTCATCTCCAAACGAGATTAAGCCTGTATTCTAATAATATATTCTAAGTAGATAAAAGCTTTAATAATTTGATCACGTAGAGAATTTGTAACAAGCTTGAGCTCCTAGAGGTTTGGGTCTTGTTACATATATAAGATATTTTATAAAATAAAATGACAAACGGACTTACAGTCGCCATGACGGTAAGTGGCTACTGCAGTCCAAGAGGACTAAGATGGCATGCCCCATGTTTATATTATATATATATATATATATATATATATATATATATATATATATATATATATATATATATATATATATATATATATATGTATAAAGTAAAATAGCAGCGTAATGCTGCTGTGTTTCGTATGGTGATGTAGAGTTCGGAGATCCTTTTTACTACAATCAGAGCATTCCATCTTAGTCCTCAGGGGTGACATTTGCGCTACTCAAAAGGTTCTGATTAATGATATTTCAGCACTCCCCAGCCAAAATCTCAATTTGTTTGTTGTTAGAGTAAAGTAACGTGTAATATCGAGTTTATAGCAAAGGGAGACAAACGAATGAATTAAATTAAAGTAATCACAAAAAAACAAGAAGAAATGAAACTGATAATTAAGTATTTTTAAATAAATAGTTTTTTTTTGATATTTTAAGCCTTTTTTGCGTTTAAGTAAATTTTATGTACATTAATGTATAATAAGGGTGCTACAACACAGTGTGGCGTCGTCGTCGTCGCGCTGCAAGCGAAACATACCGAAGCTTAAATCACGCTATTAATATTCCAAATCATAAACAGCATATATAGAACATCTCCGAACTATCAGACGGAGTGTGAGCCGCTCCCCGGGCAGAACACCTTGCCCGGCGGGAGATCTCCCCTTTTCCTACTTCGGCCACAGTGATGACCATCAGACGTGATCTGAACACGCAACCCAAACACCTTCGGAAACTACAACTTCTCAAGCCTTCGTCATTATCCTCAAGAACCCCCCTACCATTCACTACTGAGAATCGTCTTCTGCAGCCTCCAGTTCCTGCAAGCCAGTCTAACTTGTCTTCGTCTCGACTCACCGCAGATTTTATAAGGCAGACTTCTGGCACTTGCCCCGGCACATCGTTCTCACCGGCATCACTTGGCAGTGCGTAGTACGGCATGCATTACACATCGGCATATTATTCGCACCGGTATCACTTGCCCTTACGCACACAGCATGCATTCCCCACCGGCATTAAAAGGACACACCGGCAATCGGACTGCACTATCGACCTCCGGTCTGAGCAGGGGTGATGTGGCGGCGCTGTCGCCGCGCCGCAAGCGAAATACACCGAAGCTTAAATCACGCTATTGTGTAGAAGTCAGAATAATCGACCGCAACTCACATGAAGTCCGGGTGGTAACGTTACTCACCTGATAAGAAAATGTTACTCACAGGAATAATAGGATGCTTTCACATTGAAACAACAAATAGGTACATATTTTTATTTATTGTTAGACTGACACAACTGCTAACATCAATAAATATATTTTTAACAAGTTCATCACCGAAAACATGCTTTAAAAACTACAACCTACTCAAAACAATTACTTAGGCGGTGAAAATAACAAAACAAAAAAAAGGAACTATTACTTAAAAAGGAACTTTAATATATTTATTACAACTGGTAACTTGAGTGATAATTATGTAATTCTTTAATCAAAATATATATCATCATCGTCGTCAAGAAATACAAAATCAGTCTCATTTACATTGATCGACATTAATTCTACAGTCTTGACAATATTCTTACAATCTATTAGCTCTACTTCCATTGACTTTGTCTTAATAAATTTTGTATTGTCATTTTTGTCAACTTTTCTTAAAAAAGATATTTTTACCTTGTAATATTCCACTATATTTTTTTAAAAAGTATCTAACCAATACATAATCGTATTTTTTTTAAATCAATGGGAACAGTTTCTAAGTTGGAACTTGAAGAGGACTGTGGTTCTAAATTTTGATTCGCCCCTAAAGCAACTGGTTTATTCAAATGCAACCTAGTATCTGGGATAAGGCAAGTTTTAGTCTTTTCAATTTTAACTCTAACATTTTTTTGCAGCCTTTGGATTTTGATTTAATAATATTAAAATTTGTATCTTGCATATCCGGGCTATCTGATTCAGAAGCAACGTCGCAAATATCTGAATCACTGTGGACACTCATAGCGATGTCACTATTGCTTGATTCATCTTCTTCTTTTTTTCTTTTTAACTTCTTTTTATCTTTTCTTTTAATCTCTTTTCTCGTTTTTCGTTTAAGCCGGTCATAGTTTTTAGTGTTAAGTGATGAAAAGTTTTCTTTATTTTCATTATTGGTAACAATTTTTGGGGTACATTTTGAGGGCGGAATTATAACTTGCGATATAATCTTGGGTTTTTGTTTTACAGTCGTCTAGACGTTAGTGTTAATATTAAGTGAGTTCTGATTTTTTGCCATCAATACAATTTATGTTCCAGCAGTTTCCCGAATGATGCAACTACTTGCTTTTGTTTTCGATTGAAAAATTCCACCATCGTCATGTATAATATCAATGTCATTGGTTGATATTCCATGTGAAACCACGGGAATTTCTGGCAGCACTGCTCCGCGTTCATTCAATTGCCCAGCTTCCTCATTGTTGCGCATCTTTTTACTAACATTGGTTGAACAATTTATCTTGTGGACTATAGTTTTTTCAGGACGTGAGTTTTCGCGTTGTAGCATTCGCAAATCCCTCTTGGCAAAGATGACTCACAGAAACAACTGACATTGCGGTACCTTAGTGTTGTTGATGGAACATGGTAAGTAATTTGATGTAATCGAGTAGTAAGTGGTACTGGATCCAAGTCATTCGGTATCTGGTTCTGTGCATCCCGAATATTAATTTCAGAGACTGAAAATATTGTAACAGATGATTCTTCAGTTAAAATAGACACAGCATCGTCGGCAGAGCTAACATCATTTCCACATTCCACTTTTTGATCCAGCAGTCTTTTTACAGCACCACCTACTCCATCGGCAGCACCCTTGCCATGCGCAGCTTCGAAAAACGTCCAGGTTCCAAAAGTTAATTTATACTTTTTGCATAACTCTGTAAACTGGTAAAATTTTTTTTGTTTATATTGCGTACTTGGACCGTCTGAGAAAAAATGTATGGTATCTATGTCGGGATTGCTTGTTAATAATAATTCAATTATAGGTTCTATGTGGGCTCTGATGGCTCCAGGGTCATGTAAGTTACAGTCGGACAGAGAAGCAAAAGGAACCTTTTTTTGTTGTAAATATGCCATGCCAGTGTGGATCGTAATTTGGCCCTTTGATGCTCCGAAATGAAGAGCCTGTATCTCTTCTCCTAATTTACAGGAATAATTTTCTGAGAAATCTATTATTAGAGCTGCTTCATTGGGTAGTAGGTTATCAATAACTTCTCGATATTTTTTGTGCTGATGATTTATATTAAAGAAATGCTGCCGGAATGCACGTAGTATCAGCTAAAAACATTTCTTTGAGTTCTGAAAATGTACCCTTAATACTTTCTTTAACATATTTCTTTGTAGTAATAATTTTTCTTCCTATTCCCTTCTCAAACGTAAATTCCTTTCTAATCCACTGTATCCATGTGCATTCTGTATTGTTTGTAATATCTGTCAAATTCATTTCAGGATTGTTGTCTTTACACTTTTCACAATTTAAATACATACAGTCGTACGATTCAACGCTGCACACACTCGATGCAAGTAATTCTTGCAAATCGGAAGTACCTATAACGCCAATTTTCTTTAAATGAGCAACTTTGAAGGCTAAATTACTGTGCTTTATACATGCAACGGTGTTTCTATCAATCAACTTTGGCCGTACCACATTTCTTGGCCTATTTCTTCTGAAAGTTGAAAATGAGACTTTTCCTCCCTCGCTTACGTATTTTGTGTAAAGTTTCTTCAATGAAGTAAGCAAGAATTGCTTCTGTAATTTATCATTACCTCTACCAACACATTCTTTCTTGCCAGCTGTCATTCTAGTGTTATCATCCCTGTTGAAAAAAATACGTATTTCTTTAGCTTCTTTGTATGTCCTTTCCTTTTTCTTAAATTTTCTTACTCTCCCTTTCAGTCCCAATGATTTCGAAATATCAGTTTTCAGATTATATTTTTCTATTGCTTCGGATGAAACAATGTCTTTTAGGATCTGTTTTGAATTAATGTCATGTTTTTCATATGCTGTCTGTAACGAAGCACTGATCACATTCAGCTGCAGGATCTGTTTTTTAACGTTATTTTTTTCAGGAGTGGATATGGATGGAATATTTTCATTTATAAAGGATAATGTCTTAGACATGGGAGTTTTTTCACGTAAATCTTCATTTTCAGATTTGTCATTTGTGGTCAGTCCGGATGAGGTAGTTGGTGCATTAATGTCTGTAGGTACAGATTCACTGTTGGTTTTATTCTCTGATGAGTTTATTAAAGATTTGTTTTCCGTTCGTTCTGAATTTGAGATCAATTTGCGCAGCTCTTCAATTTTAATTTTATGTGTATATAGGTTTTTTGTAAAGAATGTTTCTTCAGCAATATATTATCTTTAACTTTCTTTTGATCTGTTATTCGCTTCTTCAATTTTTCACATAATCGTGCATTTAATGCACAACACTTGTTGTTCTTTGGTTTTGTTACACCACCTTCTTTTTTTTTGACAAGTCTCCATTCTCGTCGCTTTTTTTCCTTTTCTTTTTCAGCCAGTTCCGGAATTGGTCTTCTAGCAGCTTTCATGTATTCTCTATGCTTCTTCTTTTTTCTCCTCGTATTTTTCTGCATTTTGTTTTATTTTTTTCACGGTATTTTCTTTGTCTCTCAGCATTCGACATTGGCGCCATCTAAAAGTAAGCATGTAAAGTCAATTAGTTTTAATTAATGCACAAATACGTCCAAAAAGTCCAATCCATTAAATTTTAAAATAATAATAATAGATTATTCCAGAAATAGATGCCAGTATATTTCATGCATATATTTATATATATAAAAAAATAAACAAAAACCGACAGAGAGTTTTTCTTGTTTTTATATAAAAATATAAATTCTAAAATTCCTCCTTTTTTTGAAGTCGGTTAAAATACGAACAAAACCAAGCGGTTCGGAAGATTAATGAGGTTTTCGTTCGGAGTGAACAACTCGTTATTGATTGCAGGTGCAGTTACTATACAAACTGATTCGTTTTACCAAGTGTTACTCACAAATCTATAAAATCCTGTGAGTAACAATTAGCAGTATGAACTAGCCCTAAGTCGTGTTACGTTATCCACAGGAAGGAAAAATATGGACTATAACCTCTAAAATGCATCGTCATACAACAAATATCTTACCTTGAAAACAATGTCTCTGTGTTGTATGAGCACCAAAACATACTATTTCAGACTGTGTATCCAGACCCGCGTAATTCACTTTAGAATTTATCTCACTCACTAGTTTTTCACAGGAATATTTTGGACAATTTTTTCTGTGCGCGCACTTTTTCAACCAAAACATAATGAAGTGACAACATGGCGTTCTCAAAAGTCACGAGATGTGAGTAACAGTGTTGCTAGCATAAAATATAATTGCGATATGATAGAATTTCTTTTCGGGAGCGTTTAAAACACCGTTATCTACCTGGAGTTATTCACAGGAATGATATTTGGGATTTAATTATAAACAGTAATTAAATAATTATAGACATAATAAATTAACGATTACATGAATGAAAACAATAATTAAGTCACCGGTTTTTACTTAACAGTATATAATATTGCAAAAATTGCCTAGTATTGATTATTTTATAATATGTAAATTTTCATTACGCAATAGGACACTTCCATTTTGTATGGACGTGAAATTAGTGACTTTAGTTTGCTAATATTTTTTTTCGGTAAGTTATATTCTAAACATAACTAAAATGGCTTGTTTTCCTGTAAATTAATTGTCCTTTAAAACAAAATTGGTTATAACTTGTTATGACCCGAACTAATCTTTATATAAGCTGAAAACGGTCGAGGACACATATTTTTTTAAAATCATGTACGATTATTTTGACCTCTACCCTATTAACATTCCGAATCATAAACAGCATATATAGAACATCTCCGAACTATCACACGGAGTGTCGGCCGCTCCCCGGGCAGAAAACCTTGCCCGGCGGGAGATCTCCCCTTTTCTTTCACGGCCACAACAGTTTCGTTTACTGAAATTAACGTGGAAGTAAGAATAATAGCAGTATTAAATACCGGAGCACTTCCGTGACGTGATAACGTGCTTAGTTAATTCTCTTGCTTAATCCGAGTAAAACGTTCATTTATTTTCCAAGTGCAAGCTTAAAATTCTTTATTTTGCACCTACAAAGTGTCATTATTTAACAAATAGGACACTGCTTAATATATTATACTATTAAGTTACTATACATATTATGTTACTAAGTTTTTATGAGCATAATTCTGTATCCATCCACCGGATGCTATGGGGTGGTAGATTCTCTTACACCATCATTTCCTTTATTTGATTTTACTATCTTAGCACTAGTTATAATTGGGATACATACCAAGACATAAAGACAAGACATATCATGCCTTTTCAAAATTGTAAAAAATATGCACAAACACAAAATGCCGCAAACAAAAGAATTGAGTTGTCACTAAACAAAGGCATTTTGTGTTTGCGCGCACGTATATTCAAGCAACAATAATACTTAAAATAATAAACATACAGCTGCAAACTTTATGTTGTATTGTAGCTTAACTCAAACTCTGTCGATCTAGTAAACAAATAAATAGGGTAAACGGGGTTGTTGTTGCCGTAATTTACAATAATTAGCCGATTAACATCATTTTTTTCATATTTATTAAAAGTTATTTCTTTTTCTTTAAAAATAAGAGTATGTGAAAAAAAATGTTTGGTAACGTAAACGATAGACAATATTATTACCCTCCGAATGAGCCAATTTTTATCTTAGTAAGACCAAAACTTTGAGTAGATATATATATATATATATATATATATATAGTGTGTGTCCGGTCACGGACTAGCGATATTCTAGGTACTTTTTAATACAGCTATTGTTCAACTTCAACTTTATAATACAGCTATTTTAATACAAAAATACACTACACACTGAGGTCTAATCCCCTCCCCCCTCTATGTGCCGGCCATTTTGTTTTTTTCTAGAGATATTCTCTACGTGTTTACAAAAAAGTTCATATCTCTCAAAGTTTTGGTCTTACTAAGATAAAAATTGGCTCATTCGGAGGGTAATAATATTGTCTATCGTCGTCGTATATATATATATAGTGTGTGTCCGGTCACGGACTAGCGATATTCTAGGTACTTTTTAATACAGCTATTGTTCAACTTCAACTTTATAATACAGCTATTTTAATACAAAAATACACTACACACTGAGGTCTAATCCCCTCCCCCTCTATGTGCCGGCCATTTTGTTTTTTTCTAGAGATATTCTCTACGTGTTTACAAAAAAGTTCATATCTACTCAAAGTTTTGGTCTTACTAAGATAAAAATTGGCTCATTCGGAGGGTAACAATATTGTCTATCGTTTACGTTACCAAACATTTTTTTTCACATACTCTTATTTTTAAAGAAAAAGAAATAACTTTTAATAAATATGAAAAAATGATGTTAATCGGCTAATTATTGTAAATTACGGCAACAACAACCCCGTTTACCCTGTTTATTTTTTTACTAGATCGACAGAGTTTGAGTTAAGCTACAATACAACATAAAGTTTGCAGCTGTATGTTTATTATTTTAAGTATTATTGTTGCTTGAATATAGCGTGCGCGCAAACACAAAATGCCTTTGTTTAGTGACAACTCAATTCTTTTGTTTGCGGCATTTTGTGTTTGTGCATATTTTTTACAATTTTGAAAAGGCATGATATGTCTTGTCTTTATGTCTTGGTATGTATCCCAATTATAACTAGTGCTAAGATAGTAAAATCAAATAAAGGAAATGATGGTGTAAGAGAATCTACTACCCCATAGCATCCGGTGGATGGATACATCATTATGCTCATAAAAACTTAGTAGCATAATATGTATAGTAACTTAATAGTATAATATATTAAGCAGTGTCCTATTTGTTAAATAATGACACTTTGTAGGTGCAAAATAAAGAATTTTAAGCTTGCACTTGGAAAATAAATGATCGTTTTTCTCAGATTAAGCAAGAGTATTAACTAGCCACGTCATCACGTCACGGAAGTGCTCCGGTATTTAATACTGCTATTATTCTTACTTCCACGTTAATTTCAGTAAACGAAACTGTTGTGGCCGTGAAGGAAAGGGGAGATCTCCCGCCGGGCAAGGTTTTCTGCCCGGGGAGCGGCCGACACTCCGTGTGATAGTTCGGAGATGTTCTATATATGCTGTTTATGATTCGGAATGTTAATAGCGTGATTTAAGCTTCGGTGTATTTCGCTTGCGGCGCGATGACAGCGCCGCCACATCACCCCCCTGCTCAGACCGGAGGTCGATAGTGCAGTCCGATTGCCGGTGTGTCCTTTTAATGCCGGTGGGGAATGCATGCTGTGTGCGTAAGGGCAAGTGATACCGGTGCGAATAATATGCCGATGTGTAATGCATGCCGTACTACGCACTGCCAAGTGATGCCGGTGAGAACGATGTGCCGGGGCAAGTGCCAGAAGTCTGCCTTATAAAATCTGCGGTGAGTCGAGACGAAGACAAGTTAGACTGGCTTGCAGGAACTGGAGGCTGCAGAAGACGATTCTCAGTAGTGAATGGTAGGGGGGTTCTTGAGGATAATGACGAAGGCTTGAGAAGTTGTAGTTTCCGAAGGTGTTTGGGTTGCGTGTTCAGATCACGTCTGATGGTCACCACTGTGGCTGAAGTAGGAAAAGGGAGATCTCCCGCCGGGCAAGGTGTTCTGCCCGGGGAGCGGCTCACACTCCGTCTGATAGTTCGGAGATGTTCTATATATGCTGTTTATGATTTGGAATATTAATAGCGTGATTTAAGCTTCGGTATGTTTCGCTTGCAGCGCGACGACGACGACGCCACACTGTGTTGTAGCACCCTTATTATACATTAATGTACATAAAATTTACTTAAACGCAAAAAAGGCTTAAAATATCAAAAAAAAACTATTTATTTAAAAATACTTAATTATCAGTTTCATTTCTTCTTGTTTTTTTGTGATTACTTTAATTTAATTCATTCGTTTGTCTCCCTTTGCTATAAACTCGATATTACACGTTACTTTACTCTAACAACAAACAAATTGAGATTTTGGCTGGGGAGTGCTGAAATATCATTAATCAGAACCTTTTGAGTAGCGCAAATGTCACCCCTGAGGACTAAGATGGAATGCTCTGATTGTAGTAAAAAGGATCTCCGAACTCTACATCACCATACGAAACACAGCAGCATTACGCTGCTATTTTACTTTATACATATATATATATATATATATATATATATATATATATATATATATATATATATATATATATATATAATATAAACATGGGGCATGCCATCTTAGTCCTCTTGGACTGCAGTAGCCACTTACCGTCATGGCGACTGTAAGTCCGTTTGTCATTTTATTTTATAAAATATCTTATATATGTAACAAGACCCAAACCTCTAGGAGCTCAAGCTTGTTACAAATTCTCTACGTGATCAAATTATTAAAGCTTTTATCTACTTAGAATATATTATTAGAATACAGGCTTAATCTCGTTTGGAGATGAAGGGATATTACGCAGAGTGGCAATTTCTGAACATATTTGCATAAAATTATTCTCTAGTATGCA